GTGTGTATATATGCACAGGTGTGTTGTAGGTGATGAACAAGCCATAGCAAGTGTAACACACATCAACACCATCACCCTCTTTCTGTCGCCTGTGCAGGTGTTGAAGAACCCAATAGTGTTCATGGTGATAATAGGAATCATCTCCCACTTTGCTCTGGGCCAGCACATCCCCGCTGTGCTGGCAGAGTTCATCGATGGCTTGGCGAACTCGTTCGGAGGGGCGGCCTTGTTTTACCTCGGACTCACTATGGTAGTTGGGTTTTCTTCAGTCTTTTGTACCGTCTTGCTTTAAGCCTTTCTGTACATTTAACGTAATCATATTTCATTTTGATTGACGACTGTAAATTCAGTGTTTTTTTACCGAAGTATAATTTGATTTCAACTGTTTTGAAGCCTGTGTAGACATGGAGGATAACATTAAAGTTGAGTCATGTTTCTGTTTCTTCGGCAGGTCGGACAGCTTAGAAAACTAACCAGAGACACGGGAGTGGCCTTGATTCTACTCATCACAGCCAAACTGTAAGGGGGGCTGAGATGGTGTGTGTGTGTGATTATATGATGTGGGAGTGGCCTACTTGCAGTATAATGTATATAACTAAATATTGTTTTATAGTATATTTTTTTCCTATATTTAGGTATAGTACATACATGAAGCAGGAAGATGTAATAATCAATGCCACCACTAGCTACAGCATCAACAAGGACTCTTTCTTTGGCACTTGCTGCTGTTTCTCTTTTCCCAATTTCTTTATTCTGAATATCATAATCCCTCTGAGTTGATTGGAGGATAATTGAGATCACCTGTTGCGTAGAGATTGGCGACATGTTGCCATACACACAATAATGAATAAAGTATCTTCTCTTCTATAAGCAAACATCTAAATAACACATTCATTTAATGGAATACACAACTGTAACTACAGTCAGATCTACTTGTGCTCAGTAATATTATAAGGCTTTTAATTTACCAATTTACAGTCTATCATTTATTGCCAGTTGTCCTTCCTGCACTTGTCAGCTGTTGCTTTAAGCCTGGATTATGACTTTGATAAATCTTTAGCTTCTTTGTATTTGTGTAATCTTACTTTATGGTCCGTGCACCGAGCTTTGATTGGCTAGTAGGGAATTATTTTATACGGATTGATCTCTTATCTGGAACATGATCAGCTCCGTAGTTCCGTACCTTTTGTGAGAAGTGAACCACCGTCATGGCTCTGAGATCCCGGGGTTAACCCTGTAGTTTCCTTGCTCACCGTAGAACGGGCCTCTGGTCTTTGATGACGTGTCCTGGTTTATGTTTCTGTCTCTCTCTCCAGCCTGGTGATGCCGCTGGTCTGTAAAGACATGGTGGATATTCTGGACGTAGGAGTGAACAGCACCAGTGCCAACCACACCAGTTTGTCTAACTTTGCGTTCCTGTATGGAGTCTTCCCGACCGCACCTAGTGTGGCCATCTATGCTGCACACTACAACATCGAGCTAGAGGTGGTAAGCGCCGCTGATGTAGGGATCCCACTTCAAACAGCAGCTTGTAAGAAATTAGTTTTATTCAATACTGAAGCAACAAAACAATATTTTAAACATTAAAATAAATAGAAGAGGTTTACGAACAATCCCAGCAGTTTAAATCAGTTCTAGAACAAGAAGAACCCCTGACTTTAAAACCTTTTTTTAAGCTATGAAACATGTCTGGAAGTGTGTTGACTTCATCAGGGTGTGTCAAAATAACAAGGCAAATATCCTGGTCAAGTCACATGACAAGAATAAGTCACAAAACAAACACACAAGCCAAGAAAATTACTATTTCGTATTAGTAATCTGCCATTTAACAGTTTTAACTGTATACTCAATAATCTTATTGTGACAATTGTTAGTGTTATTATTAGTTTTATCAGGGAAAACGTATTGATTTTTGTTAATTAAACTATCTGAAGGTGATCATTTCCAATTCTCTTGAGTGAATTTCCAAATGAATATTGTCAGATCCAACTCTGTGCACATAAAACACCCTGTATCCAGTGTTCATGCTACGCTGTCAGTAAGTGGTGTCGTCCTCTCCGTCTTGTCTTTAGGTGACATCAGGAATGGTGATCAGTACGTTTCTGTCTGCACCCATCATGTACGTGTCGGCCTGGTTATTAACGATCCCTCTGATGGACCCGACCCCCCTAGTGACAGAGCTTGAAAACGTCAGCTTCAACATCAGCATCGTCAGCCTCGTAGCTCTAGTATGTACGCAGATATAGATCTGAGATATATTAGAGCTGTTTGTCAGACAGATAATGAATAATATAAAAGGTGAGATCATGTGACATCTCTTCTCTCAGGTGTGGACCATCGTGGTGATGCTGCTGAGCAGGAAATTTAACAGACTTCCTCACCTCTTTGCCTTAAATCTCTTCCTGGCTCAGGTCAGTCACAGCTGATCTAAAGCTTTAGAACTTCTCATTGATTTAAAGTGTTGTTGATCGTGTGCTTCACCTGTGATCTATCCAGGAACTGTTCATGAAGCACTTTGGCTCTTCATATTCACTTCTCTGTTCTTAACCTATTGTACTCCACTCTAGTTTTTGGTGTGTGTCAGTATGATCCTGTGGAACGTCTTGGTGAAACAAGACGACAATCTGCTCGGCAAGATTCTCACCTTCACTCTGCTCTATGGGTCTCTGTACAGCACCTACATTTGGACGGGTAAGTGCATTAGTAAGCAGTCAGATTCTGTCAATTATACCTTTTTCCACCAGAATTAGCGTTTATACGCAGGTTCTGTGAACACAGGTCCTTTCCCTAAAAAGGATTTCTTTAAATTGGACACAAGCGTCCACTTAGACACAAGTATGAACTGATTCAGAGCTTGGTGGTCAGAACACGGTTTTTGCCCTATGTCAAGAAATAATACGCTAATTATGACAATTGTACACAAATATCTACAAGGAAAAATGATGAACTGCCTCTCGGTTGGCATCAAACTGCGAGGCAGTAATTCTAGTTTGTCTGTTAACTATTCGGTCTCTCTTCAAACTCCATGCCTACTAATTTGGGACGACGTTCGAGCCGCTCGGACCGAGAACGATGTCATTTTGTGAGGGGACAAAAATGAGTGCGTCTAATCGGGTGTCGTGTAAATACCTGTGACTACTGCGGAGTCATTTGTCCCGGGACTGAATGCCGATTGTAACTTTAGTGCTTGTATGTGAGTGTTTTGCTCTGTTTTTCAGGTTTAATCCCTCTGTGTCTGGCTCTGACTAACAGAGATGATCTGCTGAGACTCCGACCGGGAGTATTCATGATTTTGGGTTGGGGGTAAGTCGGCACACTCAGGAACTTTAAAGCTTTTAATGTTTGTATGATAAGCTTGTTACAAATCAGCAGATCGGCTTTGTGGATCTTTGCATCCAAAATCTGTTTTAAACAAAAATGTACTTTGGCTCAGTTGAAGTACTAGAACGAGGTCTCAGATATTATCAAACACATAGAGTGTGTGTGTGTGTGTGTGTGTGTGTGTGTGTGTCTGTCTCTGTCTAGGGTTCCCTTCCTGACGGTCGGAGGTCTTCTGATATCAGGAGAGAGGACTGATACCATAGATTCTGCCTTCTTCTACGGCAGAGCTCAGGTTAGAGTTCTGTTTTTCACTCTGTGCTGTTTCTCTTGTCTCCTCAGCTCTGACTTAGTCTGTTTAGTTCCTATTTAAATCTAATATTTATAAATTAGATCTAAATCCAATACATGACTCAAAGTTGAGTACTTCTTCACATATCCTCTCTTTCTCCAGATCATCAGCACAGCAGTGGTGCTTGCAGTCAGCCTGGTGCTCGGTGCGATATCTCTGATGGGTCTCAGCCAGGGGGACAGGGAGCAGAGCGGCTACCAGGCCCTGAACAGAGCTGCTGTGATGGGCATCAGTGACGAGCTGAGGACCCCTGGTGGCCTGGAGGAACAACAACAACAGCCACAGATGGCAAATTCACCTGCCGGCAGCATCAACTCAGGTAGTGCTTACCTGTGCTAATACAGACGAAAGTAACATTTACCTGAATGAAACAAGGGGAAATATGAGTCCATTACTTGGACCAGATGATGTGTGTGTATGTATATATATGTATATATATGTGTGTGTACTGTCTGTTGTGTTGGCAGACCTCCACAGCTTCTCTCCTCTCCAGCCGATACCTGACATGATAGCCAGCACGCAGAGGGAGCACACCAACAGCACAGGTAACACAACTGTGATCAGTACTTTCCATCTAGCGAATGTCCATTTTGACATTGTGTTTGCATGGTGGATGTGGAGTAAAGATATTCTATATATATTTTATTCAATTTCAAAAAGATAGAGATGGAATAAAGATTGAAAAAAATGAAAGAAAATAGTAAATATCTATGCTCTGTTTTATGTTAAAGAGGAAACGAAACGGAAGGAAATTTCTGTATTTTCTTCTAGAACATAAAAAGGCTGTTTTGTGCAGTTGAGTTAAGATCTGCTGTCTGTCAGTAATGTATCTAAACCAAAGCAAGACAGCAGCAATAGTCTGTTTAACAAAATTGAGAAACTTGGCATCCTCACAAAGCTCCCCGAGGCACATTTGTGATATCGGGGATATCTTGGATGTCTCCAATCACCCTGGAATTTAACGCTTGTCTTTTCCCCTCCAGGCCACAGTGGGGCGCTGTGTGATGGGCGGCGGCGGCAGCAGCAGCAGCAGCAGCAGCAGGGTTCTTCCTCGTCTGAGCAGCCGCTGAACTTGCCGCCACCCGGGCTTCAGCCCACCGATGATAAACAGACAGTCAGACACGTTCTGCTCTGTCTGCTGCTCTTTGTCAGCCTGCTGGCGGTGAGGACAGAAGTGTGTGTGTGTGTGTGTGTGTGTGTGCGCCTGCATGTGTGTGTGTGCGCCTGCGTGTGTGTGTCTGTGCGCCTGCGTGTGTGCGTGTGTCTGCGTGTGTGTCAAAAGAATGTTTTTTACGTTGTCACTGAAAATATGATATCTACAGGCCACATGACTGGAATGCGACTTTAATCATGTGAGTGATGAAATTAGACGGTCTTAGTATTACAGAAGTACTATACCTAGTTATCTATCAGATCCCTTGTTGTCCTGTGTTCCTTCTCCACCCTGAGATCCTCGGATGTGTCGTTCCTTGTTGTACCAAGATCCAGATTGTTACATAGACGTGATGGAACCTTAGCAGTGAGGGGTCCTCGACTGTAGAATGATTACCTGAGGAGATCAGGGCTGCAGACTTTAATATCAGTTTTGGTTTACTGGACTAATGTGTATAAACTCTATTTGGGATAAACGTCCTGTTGTCTGGTTGTTTTTCTTCTCTCTGTGTAGAACCTGTCCAGCTGTCTGTGGTGGCTGTTCAACAAGGACCCAGGAAGACTTTACCTCGAGCTGCAGTTCTTCTGTGCCGTGGCCAACTATGGACAGGTACCACTGAGTGTAGTGTGTTAAATGTGTAAACATGAGTGCAAAAATAGTATTCCTAGTCTTCCTCTTTGTCCCAGGGTTTCCTGTCCTTTGGGATCTTTGGTCTGGACAGACACCTCATCATCCTGCCCTTCAAGAAGAGGTGAGGGAGACTCTCATTCATGGTTTCTAGATTCATCTGAGATCAAATGAGGAACACAGAAGTGCGTGTGCGTGTGTGTGCGTGTGTGTGTGCGTGTGCGTGTGCGCGCGTGTGTCAGGTTGCTCTGGCTGTGGCAGGGCAGGGACGGTGAGGACGTGAGTCCCTCAGGTGTACCAGAGGAGGTCAGACTCACCTGCACCCAGTTCGTCCGCTACCACAAAGACCAGTGTGTACAGGACATAGTGCACACGCGCAGGTACGAGGTTGTGTGTGTGTCATATACAGTACATGGAGCATGGAGATTGTATTCCAGATTTAATTAGTTCTGTTTTGGGTCAGAACTGCTTGGCTGTGTCCCTGTTCATTTCCACATTATTACTGTTGTTATTATTTAGTTTCCGTTTGATTTTTCTCTGCGTGCTCTCTGCATGTTATTTATCCGTCTTGCTGCAGCTACTGAGGTTCTTTATCCTCCGACTAGTTCTTGTGTTTGAAGCAAAGTCTGCATGTTGCACCTTTCACCACGGTTTGCAGTACATGTATGAATTATTATATCAAAGACACATTAGCTGTGACTGCTGCTGTCACCGTGCAACTATAGTAATAGTCTAATTCTTAAGAACAGAAAAGAGATTATTTAGATTGTTTCCCTTGTTTACTTATTAGCAGTAAGATAAATGTTGAATATGAAATGTAGCCACTAAAAACGTCTGCTAACGAAAACACTTTGTTTGTGGATGTTCATGAGTCCTGGGTGCTTTTCTTTTCTTTCATTCTAACACATTATTTCTATTCCTTTCTCCTCTTTTTGTTTGTAATCCTCATGCTTTCCTTTCTTCCCCTCATGTTTCCTTTTATTCCTCCCTGCTTCCCTGTGCCTGCCCTCTTTATCTCCCTTCCCCTATCACTCCAAAGTGGCTCAGGGGAGAGTGTGAGCGCTTCGACAGGTGAATCCTTCCTCTGATAATGACAGGTTCGGAGGAGAAGGAGGACTAGAGGAGGAGAACGGGGCCTTGGGACATCCCCTCTCCTACGAGCCCCGGTACCTACACCCGCATCAGGAGCGACTAAACCACGAGCCGCACAATCTGCGCCAGATTCACCGATCTCCTGATCCGGATGAGTCCCCCGGTCGGTGTTGGCTTCCATCCCGACCCCGGCTGGAGCCTGACAATGAAAACCAAGCACATATTTCCCACCATGACTCCCCAGATGAGCAGATTCCCCAGCTGCAGCCTGACCAAGCTCATGACCCAACTACTCCTCACCAGCGTGGTCCTGCTTCGACCCCACCCCATCCCCATCAACACCACCGGCCCCGTTTTGAAAGTGTGTTTCTGGGCAGTGACTTGGTGGACTGGCTGGTTGAGCGAGGCCTGTGCGCTGGGCGAGCCGAGGCCCGACTGTACGGCGTTCGCCTCCAGCAGGGAGGAGTGTTGGATCACCAGACGGGTCGGCACAGCTTCAAGGAGGAACCATCGCTGCTGTACCACTTCACATGGGGGAGAGAGGGGGAGTGGTCCCAGATCATGTGAGAGGAAGGGAGGCGGAGGAGGTGGTACATTCTGGAGGTGGGTTTGCTTTGAGTGACCAGCTATTCATGGTCTGTAGCCGCTCGCATGTCCGCTCCGGCTTCACGCTGTCGCCAAAATTCCAGCTGATGAGAGGCTTCATTTGCAGTTCCTTGGAAAATACAAAACCGGTGACATGAGAGCTGTGACGCACATGAAAGTACAAAGTGATGCTCGGGGTCGTGGAGACGAGGAAGAGGCGGAAACAAGCGCTCCCTGCTGGTACTTCTCCTGGTTCCCGACCACGTCTTTTAACCTTTTGGTTGAAATGTTCTCCTCACCTGAGCCGGCTTTGATCATTAGCTTCTTGACTTTAGTCACCTGGAGATGTAAATCTTGATTTGTTTTTTTCCTGTGTGCCAACTTAACATTTTCAAGTTTCCATCCATCAGCCTTCCATCCTCGCATATCGTGTTATTTATGTGACCAGAGCAGCGCGGTAAACTGATGGTACTGTCTGTGTTGCTCTTAGCCAATGAGCTGCAGGGCTGCTCACTGAGAGCCAATGGCGTTCTCGGCTGCTCGCTATGTTTCCCTTCAGACATGAGATCATCTGGGACCTTCCTGTTATTTCACTATTTGATATTTTGCACGTTGCGTCTTTGAACCGCTCTGGTCTACGTTGACTACTTGCATGACACCGAGCAGCTCAGACTTCTGCTCAGCACTGAACCTCCTGCACTGACTGTTTCTTTTTTAAAATTATGCAACTCACTGGACTCGCTCGTCTTGTGACGATGCTGTGGAAGATGTTTGTTATCTTTACATTGTTTGATTGTGTTGGAACGTTTGTTTTGGACTGATTGTGGTCTTCACCACTAAATGGTTTTGGGGGATTTAAACATATGCCTGTCCTGTTCATAAACTGATGAAATTAAGTTTATTAAAACCTCAAGTGTGTAGTTAAAGTAATACTTCACCCTTAAAATGATCATTTGTATATCAGTTACTCTCTCCATGAGGACACTTTCTCTCACGCCTCCACGGTGAACAAAGAATCTGAAAATGGAGAAAATCTCACACAACTCGTGCAGTATAATCAAAATGTATTTGTTCAGTTCTCACTTCTTCCCAAAAACATGCAAAACCTTCCACGACACCCACGAGCGCTGCAAGTCTGCATGAGACGATGGAGGAGGAAGTCTTTTAAAATGTTTGTAAAGTCATGAGCACACGACTGGATAAATGACTCTGATTATTCTGCACCAGTTGTGGGAGAGTTTGTAAACGGATGTTTTAATTTAGTTCTGCTGTTTTGAAACACGGCCTCCATTTACTTCAATTCATCAAGACTTGTTCTCTTCTCTTGAGGATCAACGGAAGCACGGGTACACACATGAAGATTGTGGAGCTGAAGTATTCCTTTAACTCGGACGTTTAAGGAATTCAACAGAGACCGTTATCTAAAACAAACCCATTTAAATGTGTTGTATCATCGTGTTACGCTTTGATAAGATTACAGTCCTAAACTCTTCTAATGAACACACAACTGACTTCAAGTTTATTATGCTGTAGTTCATTAACACTAATGAGCTGTTAACAGACTGTTTGGCTCCACTGAGCGACTAACTCCACCACACATATTGTTGGCCTGCTGATCTGTGATATTGTTTCTATGGGTTGTAGAGGAAGTGAGGATGGTGATGCATGAGCAGGGTAAACACCACTAATGTGACCTGATACTTTCACCTGAAGCATGATGGCCAAAGAAATAATGTTCTTCTGGAACCCTCTTCTTCATCACAAACATCTAAAGTGCAGATCTGTGCGTCTTCTGCCAACTGACACCACATTGAGGTTCATGCAGATCACATCAGGTCCTCTTGTTGAGAGAGAGAGAGAGAGAGAGAGAGAGAGAGAGAGAGAGACTGGATGTTTTAAGTGTGTTGCTGTAACGACTGTGTGGTCACCAATAAACTACTGTTTGCATCCAAAAGCCCACGTTTCTCTTCGTCACCACACAATTATTGATTCTGATTCAAACAGACATTACAGGTTTTATTACATAATGCACACGATGTACAGGTCGGTTTGTTTTCCTTGAACTTTTTTTGGTCAAAGAAGAAGAGAACTAAAATCTTGACCTGCGCTAAGCCCTTTAAAACTTTAAGCAACATTGTCAACAACACATTTATTTTACTCTGGACTGTGCTCACCAAGGTTCATCCTGAAATGCGTCTAAATAATACAGAAGATGACAAATCTTCTGTCAAAGACGTCGGTTTCAGACTGTTTCTACATTTTTTTTTTAATAAGAATCTACAATTTAAGATTTATCTATAAACTCTTTGCCCTGAAAAATACGGATTAAAAAAAATAAATAGTACAATTTCAAACTTTCAACAGTTACACTGATAGCAACAGACTTAAAGTGGTCAATCTCAAAGATTTTCATTTGAATAAATGTTGAATCACTAATCGATTGACGAATGAGGTCACACTTGATTGTTGACTTTTCATGTGAAGGAGCCACAGGAAATGCAACGTTTGTCAGTGAGCTTCTTGCTGCTGCCGCCTGATGCCGTCCTCTCTCTGGGCTCCGCAGCTCCTCTCCAACCAGCCTCTAGTTCAGTCTCTAGTTCAGCCTCTAGTTCAGTCTCTAGTTCAGCCTCTAGTTCAGCCTCTAGTTGAGCTAAAGCATTTAACTTCCACTGGCTTAACACGTCCATCCACATAGTATCTACTGTAAAGCCCTGGATTGTCTGAGCTCAGTGAAGCAGTGAGGTAGTGAACTCCCCTCAGGTGAAGTCGAGGTGCTCGTGAGAAGAAAACAATAAGAAGCCTGCCTAGCAGCAAGTCTGCAGCAGAAGCCATGTGACCAAATTACAGTTTGTCGGGGTTCAAATTTCATTTGGTCTTCGCTTTGTTGAGACCATCATGAGAAGATCACACCTGACGTGTCCTCTGTGAATGCAGCCACAGCTACATTAAGACGTGTGTAAGTGCTTTAAGACAAGAAGAGAGACGGAGACACGCTCAATCTTTAGACTTTTTAAAAGTCCAAATGTGCTAAAACGTCTTTCCGAGCAAATCCCGGCTTCAAACGCTGAGTAAACATATGTGAGGAGGAGAGACGTTAATGTCCAGCTGGTCAATTGACTGATCTCCATACTGCACCGAGAAAATCACTTTCAAGCTCGAGTGGTAACTTGGCTCTGGACAGGAGGTCAGAATTTACAACTGTAGTCACGATGGACGGAGAGAGAAAGGCAGAAACGCAACATGACGCACAGCAGACGATTAAAGCGGGCGACTGCATGATGGGCAGCCTTCAGTGGATGGAGACCGACAGAACGACCGCAGCCAACCATCCACCGAAATTGAACATATAGTTAGTCATGTTTCGGGGTCATTCCTCAGGGTTAAATCATTAAAAAGCCAATTTTTAAAATGTCTTAAGTCAAGACGATCGGAGTGATTTCCTTGAATGTGCTGTAACATCGATCATCACAGTATTTACCCCGAGGACAACAGCGATAGGGCAAATTAACTTATATCAATGTGAGTTAAGGAATTTAAAAAGATTTCCCTAAACCTTTAACTTTGTGTAACACCATGTAGCCTTAAAGCCCGGTGCAACATGACCCGAGGACATTCCCAAACTTTCAGAACCGCTCATACTGCGAGTATGATGAGCCGTTTGGGGTGACCTGACAGACAATCACGAGGCCCAAGTGAAGAGAGTTTTCTCTCCATCTCAATTCTTCTGACGTCGTGTTTGTTTGAGAATCCCAAAGCACGACATGTTCCTTAGACGGTGATCCCAGAATCACCGTCTCTTGACTTCAGCCCAGCTGGGTCCGTTACTGTCCATGCCGTCCATCTTGAGGTGAGCTTCGCTGTACCGCTTGATCAGCGCTCCAGGGAGGAGAGCCATGAGGGCGATGGCCAGGAGCTGGGCCAGCGTCCCCCAGGAGAAGATATCGTCCAGAGAGGAGATCTCGGAGAGGATGGAGCCCGTACGAACGCAGATGAAGTTGTAGGGGATCAAACCTGGAGGAGGAGAAAACAGCCGAGTCATCAGTGTTTGGAGTGTGATTTTAAGTGTGTGTGTGTGAATGTGTGTGTGGAGTCTCACCTATGAACACAGAGAAGAAGAAAATGGGCATGGGGATGTTGAGGACGGGACAGGTGATGTTAAGGAACCAGTTAGGAGTCATAGGGAAGAAACGGAGGAACAGGAGGAAGAAGAACAAACTGCTGCGGTTTTCCTCCACCTGACGGAGGGAGGGAGAGAAGAAAGCAGGAACAGAGAGTCTGCAAGGTTTCCTCAAATTAGGAAGTAAAAAATATTCTAAATAATATTTCAATTTTTCACTTATTTGGCCTTTACTGTTTACATCGTTTTTATTACAATCATAAATCTTTAAAATCACAACCAAAATGTAGTTTTTTACTAACCTGAGGAAGAAAACTTTTTCTTCCCACTGGTATAAAATATATATGTATTTTAAATTATAAATTCATATTAGCAAGTCGGAGAGGTCAGGAGGTAAGAGGATTAAAGAGAAAAGAAGTTGAAAAAGTTTTGTCTTTCAAATCCCTGAGGCCAAAAAAATGACTTCCATAAAGTTTATAAAATACTTGCATTCACCAACGTATGCAAACGAAATGCAAACATACCGTGAGCGTGTTAACGTGGCGAGCACGTTAGCACGCTCACGTTAGCGTTGCCGCCATCATGACTCTCGGAAGGGGAGACGCCTACCTTCCTCTGCAGCAGGGCCACCTTCTCCGGGAAATGCTGGACCACGTGCTGCTTTCCAAACGCAGAGGAGAGCAGGAAGCAGAACGTGGAGCCGACGGTGGTGAGCAGGCAGGCCAACGCCAGGCCCTCCCAGGGCCCGAATATCGCACCGGCTAACATGTTCTGAAGGAGGATTAGATGGACCGGAGAACATTGTGCAAACTGTGTTTGTCAAAACTCAAACTAGACATGAAAATTGGTACTTGATTCTATAATATTCTTGGAATGCATTGCCTAAATAACTGCACGATGTTGTTTTAGCCACTGAGCTCATCCTGTCCTCACGTCCTACATGTGTAAGTGTGTGTTCAGTACTCCTCACCAGAAAGGAGGAGCCCGGTATGGCGAAGGACTGCTTGTAGAGGTAGGCGCTGCAGAACAGCAGCAGAACGTAGCCGTGATGTTCTCTGTTGTAGAACTTGAGCATCTCTGCGAGCTCCCGCAGCTCGTCCAGGTCCGACGGGAACTTCAGCCTGGATGGAAAGAAACGCACCACGGCAAAGACTTAGTGCCTCATCCTTTTGTCACCACATTCCTGTAGCTTTAAGGACTCGCACACTGATTTATACATCTCCCAGAATGCCTTTCGTTATAGCCCCAACAATAGATTTTTTAATCTGATACTCTTAATAAATATTTAGCAGTTTAAAAACAATCCTGTAACAATCAATCAGCTGAAAGTCCTCGAAGTAGAAAAGTAGAAATGGACCTGGACTGCAGCCACATCCCATAACTACCTGTCCACCAGACTTCCCTCGTCCACCTGCTCACCTGTTCTCACTTCCCTCATCAGTCGCTCATTACAAATGCCAGCCCAGAGATCTCTTGTTGCTTAGACAGTTCTTCCCAGTTGTCATGAGCATTGGTTTGTCAAGCAACCCGACTCTGATCTTTGACCTGAACCGGTCTGCCTCCCAACACCTACCTGTAAGCTCTTTCTATGCACAATAACTCGTTGAACTCTTCCTGCTACGTCTGCGTCCTCCCGCTGCTGCCTGCTCTCCTCACTGTGACAACACACCGACACACATCTGCAATAAGGTAATACCATCTTAATTATCAGTTTGGCTCTACCTTTCATCATGCACCAGAAAACGTCCCAGTTCCCAACCAATCACCCCACAACCCAAGTAGCTTTTGGGATTATTAAATGTGCACTCTTTTTACCTAAAAGTCCATTCACCTTCATTGTATTGGTGCAGCAGCACTTGCATGAGGAGATACCTTTAAGATAATTTTCCCTTTTTTTCAAATTATTATTATTTGAGTGAAAAAGAAAAAGAAACCTCATATTTGTATAGCATTCCCCTCGTTATATTCCTTTAAATAATCCTGCTTTAGATGATTGGTCTGTTATCCAACTCCATCCATGTGATCTCTATTTTTCAGTACTGATGTTGAATGTGAAGTCACATGTATCTGGACCATTCATTTATGATTCAAACATTGTTTTATTTGAATGATTATGCAGTTTTAAACAATGCGCTTATGGAGCTCAAAGTTAGTCGTACAGTGACTTTTACTACGCTTCACAGAGAAAGAAGAGGAAAGCTCATATTAGAAGGAAGGTAACAGGATACATTTGATCGAGGGACAGAAATAGTGTCGCTGCCTGTACACTTGAGCAGAGGGAGGGAAGACACTCCTCAACACACACACACACACACACACACACCAAAATCCCCCCCGTTGAAACTCAAGATGCCGACTTCCTCTCCCACCTGCTCCGACATGCAGCATTGGTCTTTTCTACTGGTCAGCGGACAAACATCCTGCTCCGTCATTGGTCAGCAGGTCGCTGATGCGTGAAACTGAGTGAATGTGTGTCGATTTAAAGAGGGACATGCGTCAACGCATCATCCCATGAGAAACATTGTGTTTCTGCATACGCAGCGACACAAGTCTTCATATGTATGCGTGTGTGTATTTATACAGTATATGTATATATATATAAATATATATATACATATACACAGGAGAACAGATGAGGATGAACTAAGAAGTGATATAAAGTTTAATGTTGAGTTGTTAAAGCAACTAGGGCTGCAACTGATTGTTTTCTATATTGATAAATCCCAAAATTAATTTTGTCATCAATATGAAGTAGTCATCTCTTTATGTATTATGTAATTGGTGTTCTCTATAATATTGTGAAATATTAACATTATATAGGTGGAGGCTTCAAATCACTTTTAACAATGGAAACAGTAGACTATATTATTAATATATATTATCAATATATATTATCAATAGAGGTGTAAGAAAAATATTGATGCACTTGAGTATGGAGATATTGTGTTTTGTGATTCTGGTTTGATTCTCAAACACTATTTATTTGAATAGTTTTCATACAAAATACAAACAGTTTACTTTCAGACAGCGGATAAAATTGTACAAAACTAATTAATAAAAATCCAACGGTTCTGATCACACAAAGTTCAACCTTCTTTTAAACTGATTTTATGCATAATATGCTGATTCGCTCTTTATACGATGACAGTTTTCCTCAAAGTAAATTTAAATAAACATCTAATCTGGTCATACACAGCCCTGATTGTCAACGGTAATAAATGATTCTGACATCATCTCAGCTGTAACAGCAGCATGAAACAACAGATGTCAGATTTAGGCCATTTTGTGACATCAAGAACATTTAATAATGAGATAACGTTAACAGCCTGCAACATGCTCGTGATTTGATAGCGCATGTCGTTAAGCATTGATGTGTGTTACATAAAGAGAGACTGGAAAACAAAGGTGTATCTGAGAAGAAGAAGGGTAAGACATTATGGTGTATGTCGTGATATTAAAGATGTAGTAGTATTATCTTAACCATGTTTTACTGTGGTTGGTTATATGCTGATCTTAACTCCATCAGATCACTGAGGTTCAACAGTTACATTATTAGAACTCTGCAGCATTTCATTTAACTGTTATTTAGTTGTTTTTGTGTTTGATTTGGTTTTCTTTTGTTTGAAAAGGTGCAGTGTTTTAGATAGATAGAGTTTTAACAAATTTGTTCGTTAGCCAACCTCCTCCTTAATAAATAAAGATGATTTGACTCATACATGTATCATGACCACAACACACACACAAATACACACAACTGTCACCAGGTGCAATCACACCATGTTTAAATGACTTGATAAGTAATTGTATAATATGAGTCATATCAATGTAATGAGCACACACACACACACAAACACACACACGCGGGTCCTGCTCTTGGCTTCAGAGTGTCTTGGTCGGCGTTATTCTATCATCCCTAGACAACCCCACACATGACCGTCTGGCACATTGCAAAACACAAACACACACACACACACACACACTGAGGAGTAATGCGATCAGTCCGATATGTACTGGGAGGAGATGTGAATATCAAACACATTTCATTATTTGTCTTATTTGTGCAACAGATCTGAAGACAAATATGAGCAGAAAGAAAGCTGTGTGGAGTCAACTTACTTAATTTAAATATTATATTAATATAAAAGATGGGGAGCTGATGCTGTGCTCAAGTCAACACAGAATGTCAAGAACATAATATAAGTACAGATGACTTTATTGAGGTTATTAATTCCTTCATTCGTTGCTGTTATTTGTAGGGATCCTGTCCCAGCATGCACTGGGAAAGAAGAAGGTAAACACTGTTGTTGGGTCACTCGTCTGGTGGTTTCCGGATCCTCCGATTGGTTTCAAGGTAAATATGAGGTCACGAGATTATTAAAGGCGTGATCAGCAGAAACATTAACTTCTGCTTCATAAAAATGACTTTGACTGTTATTTGTGCTGTTGGAGGCTTTGAAAATAAATACTCTGAAGAGCGTAAATGACTCTGCTCACAATCAACATCCACATTGAGGCCCCACAACCTGTGATGACGCGTCATCAGCAGACATTGATTCATGATAGGGGGTCACAAGCCAAAGGGGTCAGAATCACAGGGAGGGCTCTCAGAGACTGGGGGGGGGTCTCACAATCACGGATGTGTGGGCAATTTAGTTTCCGAGCCAGCTGATGTTCACTTTACTGTAATGTCGGAGAAAACCCCAAATTATTACAGGAGAACAAGCAAACAGAAAGTCAACCGCTGAGCTGCATTCACCGGAATGACTGAGGCTGTAATGCTGTTAATATCCGACTCCCTTTCTGTAAGGACTTTATTCTAGGATTGTTTTCAGACAGGAAGTATAATCTTTAGTATAAAAAAGAATAAACCACTTCATTATAATTTTAGAGATACTCAAGTAGCCTAATTTAAATGTAGGTAGGCCTATAATCCCTAACTGGATTTTGAAGTGTGTGTGTGTGTGTGTGTGTGTCTTTTTCACTATTAATTGTTGTTGATTGACAATGCACATCTTGCAAATCAACAACAATAAATAAATGAACAATAAAAGAAAATGAATAAAAAAGACTATGTATTTTCTTCTATATTTTAAGACATTAAAACAGTTTCAGTTATTAAAGCTGCACTGTCTCTCTCTCTCTTTTTCTCCATACCTGTACTCCTGGACTCCCCCGTCCTCCTCCTCCTCCGCTGAGCCCGGCGGGCCGTGCGTCGGTCCCGGGGGAAGATGGGTCGACAGCAGGTAGAGGAAGACACTCGCCGCCGCCACAAGGACAGCCAGTCCCGCTAAGGAGCGCATGTCGCTCCGTGCAGAAACCTTTTGCACCGGTCAAACTTCACTGATAACGATATTTAAAATTAAAAAAAGGAAGAGAAGAAGAAGAACCCGCCTGTGAGGCAAAAGGCAACGTGTTCGCGGTTGAGTTGGGGTGGCAGGCTGCTAATGACGGTTGACATTCTGGCTGGGTTCGGCTCACGGATCACATGGCAGCCGGTGACCAACAACTCTCTCCGAGGAGAGAAGAAGACTCACGTTGACATGTGTGTCCCCTCAGCAGCAGCTTTTCTCCTCTTCTTCGTTTGTTTTTCTCTGCTGGCACTTTACGGATTACGTCTTCAAACTATTTGCCCCCAAACAGACGAATACTGAACAGGTTGAACTCATTCAACAGAAGTTTGTGAACACAGTCTGCTGTTAGTGAGAACTGTGAATGTGCACTTACATCAATGAGCCACTAGAGGGCGACATGGTGAAGGCCATGTGTTAAGTTACATTACGCAGCGGTAATATTTATAGATCAGGATCATTATTACGCATCAAAGAGTTACTGCAAATGTAACAACAAACATATATATATATATATGTCTAAAATAAAGAGCAACACTTTTAACAGAACCTGTGCATATTTTCATTTAATTGATTCATTTTTCTTTTCAAATGTGTCTTGTATTGTATTTCTATATATTTTTATATATATGTTTTCTGTTGCGGTGCAGTTAATCTCCAAAAACAGTAATACACAAGGCTATTATATCAGAGAAGGCCATTTCTCTCATCGAGTACTTTTATTTTAAGTACTTTAAGTACTTTAAGTACTTTAAGTACTCCAAAACACAAATAGAAAATGAAACCGTACGAGACACAATGTTCTGCACGTCACAACAATGACAAAACAAATAACCAAGAAACGAAATAACTACGGGAGGAAACAAGAGCACACCCTGAGGTTTGACTCAAGCTAATGAACAATAATCACTTTCTAAATAAGCAGAGGAACTTTACTGACATTTGTTCCAAGGTGAGAAAACCTTTTTTAAATAAGCAAAATGACAGAGAACGAATATTTAAAAGTAATGTATTGCTATCATAGTGAGCTCAGCAACAAGTTGTTTGAGACTATAAGGATAGTTTGCATTTAAAGGTAAAGTGATGTCAGTGAAACTGACCTTAAATCAAGAGGGAGCCACCTGACTGTGTCTAACATCGTGCAATGGTGTTAAAAAGAAAGTGCAGCCTGGTGTACATCTGCAGTCTGTCATGGTTAACATTGAGGGGAGTAAGTTCTACCGTCACACACGATATCAGCACAAAGAAACATGTCTGAACAACCGGCTTGCATGACGTTTATAAAGTGAAACAATACGATCTCTGCCGTCCGACCTTTCACGTCCTCACAGGTTTCCTTGTTTCTGGCCTTGAGCGGGTCTCCCTGTTCCCCATCATTTCCTCTAAGGCCTCTTCCTCTGGAACAACTGTAAGATGTTGAACAGAGCTGCTGTCAGTTTGAAATCCACAAAGCTGTGAGTTTGTAAGACTTTGAAACACCCAGGAATACCTTTCTGGTCCCCGTGGAGAAAAGCTGTCATCTGCGCTTGAAGGCCGACCGCCAAAACCAAGAGCAGGAACACGACCTGAGCTTTCATGTTCTGCAGGAGAACACTCAGGATTAGTGCAATCCTCTGCTTTTCTATTGTATGATACAAATGAATGATCCTTTCTAATTGTCAGTGAAAGTTTGAAGAGATATTTGAAATAATCGCTCACCTCGGCTAACCTCAGCAGCAGTTAGTCTGTTAGTGAGTCTTCAACAGGGAAGTTAGTGTCTGTGGCGTCTCTGTTGTGACTCATATACCGGAGCAACAGGCCTCGGGCTGGGCGGTTCTTTGTCTCCAAAGCATCTTAACAATCCAAAAGAGGTTCCAAAAATACATCTCTCTCTGGCTCGTATCAAAAGCACAAAGCGAGAAGGTAAACAACTCTTCACTGGGTTGACTGAACTGATTGTGTTGGAGATACACGGCAGTCAGGGGCCTGATTTTAAAGGTACTTTACAGCACATTGAATCTGAACGGAAACGATGACTTTGAAGTTAAAGCGTAGACACTTAAGTTTTGATGTTCGGGGTTTTACATCCACATCAGGTGAATAATATGGGGATTGTAACCAAAGGCAGAGGAAATTAGGATGTTTTCTTATGGTTGGTATTTACTCCATGGATGGATGACTGAACGGGTTTAGCAGGCCTTCACCTGCAAAATGTCACTTGAAGAGACACGCCCCGACCACAAAGGCAGTCAAAATGACCACAAAAGAGACACAAAGCAACTGCAAGAGATACAAAATAATTACAAAAAGGGGTAAAGCAACTGCAAAGAGATGCAATATGACCACAAAGAGACACAAAACGACTGAAAAGAGACGACAAAGAGACAAAAATGAAAACAAAAAACAGACTCAAAACCCTCAAAAAGTCTGTGCGTCTTGCTCCTACAGATGCTGTCATTTTGTATGTCAGTGGCCCTTTGTCTCATAATCTGAATGTGTTTATCAAACCTTTTAATTATGACAACAGAATAACAAAGTGTGAATTCCCCACCTGAGCATTGTCCAGCTGAGGCTGCAGACGGATACACGTCCTGTTGAAGTCTGACTGCTTCCGTTCAGATACGTCTCACAACTGTGTCTCTGTGGTGGAGCTTCTATCGGACCAGTTTGTTCCAATGAGCCTCGAGGGTAAACGATCTTCTTCAACAAGAGCGCAAACTTATTTGTGTCCATTGAAAAGTCTCGACGAAGGTTTCCGTACCTGTGTTTAGTGACGACCGATAATCAGACCACGGTGTGCTCTTTGGGTAAGACGTTGAAAAAGACAGGAGCTTTGCACACGGCACAATAAATCAATAGTTGCTGGAAACGACACCAGAAACGTCAATGCTGTCAGATAGTTTGCCTGAGTAACCGCACACTCAGCGCCTAAATTACAGCACGATCAATGATCCATAATTATCAGTGGCAACAACACGTTTGGCTTCGCTCTCCTTCAGGCCTGTGGCTTAGTACTGTGTGTGTGTGTGTGTGTGTGTGTGTGTGTCTGTGTGTGTGTGTACAAGCTAGGGTCATGAGAGGCTGCAAATTAAAAACGTATTGAGATGTTACACAGCTGATGTCTTAACCAACGATCATCTCATTTCAACATAAGCATTGTGTCTGACAAAAGAAATAGATCTATAATTAGGGAAAAAAGTATTCTTCAGCGTAGAAATGTCATTCTAAGAGTCAGAGAGCACAAATACTTAAATAGCTTCTGTCTACTGAAGAGAGGTCGCTTTGCTATTTGCATGCAGTACAGTGAAAGTACTCTGTAAGAAGCACAGTTTGCATGTTCATTTTTGTTCTGTAGTTAGTTTGGAGTTGTTGTTCAGATGATGTTGGTTGTTATGTCCCTGACCTTTCCTCCCTTTGTTCCCGTCTCACTTTGTTCAGTTGTTAAACATGTAGGCTTAAACAAAGCTACACACATGAGTCGACTCAATATCCTCTATGATTATGTATTGTCACACTCATATGGACTTATTGTGGTGCATTTCTAGCTTTACGTGACACTTTGGCGGTGCAGAACATAAACAAAAGATGTGTGGGCTTTGTGGAGCAGAGATGTCATGACAAGTGACAGTGTGCACTTTAAAATGCACGAATCAAGTCCTCGGATACAAAGAGAACAAGTTTATCTCATTTGCATTTTCTTCATCACACAGCATCAATACCTGTGTTGGGTGTGAGGCCTATGTTTTGTCTCCATAAGTACTTGTGTATCTTACTGCAGGACTCATTCTTTGACCTTGACATGAGATTTGTTTTTCCTCTACACAAAGTACTGTGCAGCCGTCTGACGGATTTCAGCGAATCCTCCAACATGTGAGCTAGAAAGGCCTTGGTTGACCTTCCTGAGTGTGAAAAATAAATCAAAAAAACAAAGACAACAATATTCATTCTGCATGTTGAAGCATGTCTCAAGATCACATGTTGAAATGATAAAGTAGCACTACAACAAAAAGTTGAATTAGAATATATATTAAAGACAATCCTGTTACTTAAAAATATAGCTGCACTACTCTCTGAATGTGGTGCGCCCCCTGCTGGAGACTCGGGATGTAAAATTGATGCTGAATGCAGGTTCATGTGTCTCCAGTTGATCCCAGGTGGCAACCTCTGGTTGGCGAAGGCCAAATTGCCGAACGCGAGGCTTCGAAAGTGACGTCACGATGACTACGTCCACTTCTTATCTTCAGTCTGCTGTTGATTCACAAGTGTTTGCTTAAAACCAGCCATACAAGAGTTCAGATTTATTCATCCTTCTCTACAGAAGAAAATATTTAACAAAATCTCTAAATACAGAGCACAAAGAAACATTATTGACCGCAGCTCCTAATATTTACATGACGTCTGTTGTCTGGACAGATGGAGAAAGAGGAGAGATGGGGAGTGATACACATGTAGACATTTACAGACTAACAGAATGCACCCACAGGTTCATAGTAATGGCATGCAAACAAATGTGCTGAAAGTACTTCTCTCTAGTTCTTAGTAAGTGTTTTTAATAAACAAATAGGAGTGACTGTGGCTCACTGGCCTAAGAGGGTTGTCTGGTAACCGCAGGGTCAACGGTTTGATCCTCGACTGGGACGTGCCACGTGTCGTAGTGTCCCTGAGCGGCGCCTGTCATTAGCAGCCCACTGCTCCCTATATACAGGGATGGGTCAAATGCAGAAGGCAAATTTTGTTTATGTGTATATGACAATAAAAAAGGGTTTCTTTAAATACTACAATACTGACAGCCTCGATCGTTAGGTTTTACTTTGTCTACACTCTACTAAAGCGTCAGAATATTCCTCACGATACACACATGCCAAAGTAGAACCAGGTTGATTTCATTCAGGATTATTGTTGAACAGGTGAGTGGAGAGACTCGACGTCACACGGTAGTTCTGCATCTTCACCTCTTGGGTGTTTGGGTTCTCTGCTGTATATTTGTGTGATGGATAGATGGGACTTTATGTACGTACATATATACCAAGTGGGGGGATATGAGGGTTGCAAATGAGTACATTTGAAGGATATGAATATTGAATTTTAGATTCTCTGTTCAACTCTGTCTCATTAAAAACCCAAGATATTATTTAAATCAACTTGTACTTGAACTGACTGGCTTTTTTATTATTTCACAGACATTCATGTTTTAAATCTTGAACTAAGGATGAAAAAACACGAAAAACATTGCATTAATGTCAATGGAAGAGGAAAAGATCCTTTTTCTTTCGCTTGAGTTAATTAGAGTTTTGATTGTATTTGATCTGTCAAAAGTATACACATACTACTCTCAAAGATATTAGTGCACCAAGTACTACTTCTGAAGAATAGAATTGCACAAAAAAAAGGTTTTGTTTGTACTTTTTAAACCATGATCCCGAACAGGTTTTACAGGAAAACCAAATTGCCTCTGAAGTTGCCACATGACTGGTTGCTGCAAGCAATGGAGCATTTAGAAGGCTGTTTTTTGAATGGAGTGTGGCGCAGCGCTCGCTCCACATAAAACACACCGGTTGTAACATTACATCACTTCCAGCAAACGTCACGGAGAACAATGAGGGTCTGATTTAACCCAATATTCTCTACAACATTAGCACCTAAGCGTGTTGTTGATGACCAAGTCTGTTTGCAACCGGCAACTTGCTCTTCACTTCAATTCCGCTCCACGTGTGGAGAGCCTAACCGGTTTTAATGTCTGAGGGGTTCCATGTATAATCTTTGCTAGTCCAGACTCTGGCTGCTTAAAGTATAGATATTCAGTTTATTGTGTTTGGGGATATTTTTATAGCAGGGTGATAATCATGTAGCAGCAGCGCTATGTGGCTGCATGCATGGAGAGACACTGGAGCCATAGAACTGCAACTGACAGATAAGAGTTAGCAGCAGA